ATACCATCTTCAGTGTACATTATAACTATGAAAATAAACACAAACACACATCCTTCACCTTCTGTACATTGAATTGAAAATGCTTGATATTGGATTAATGTTGCCCTATACAGTAGAAATCAATGTAGTTACTGCCCTAGGATAAAAGCTGTTTTTCAGCCTATTTGTCCTTGTTTTTATTATTATCCTGTACCATCTGCCAGATGGTAATAGTTCAAAAAAAGGGTGCCCAGGATGAGATGGATCTTTAAGGATGTTTTGAACTTTCTTAAGGCAGCGGGAGCTATGAAGGTCTTCCAAAGAGGGGAGAGGGCAACCAATGATTTTCTGGGCAATGACATTAACCCTCTGGAGTACTATCCTAATGATGAATGAATGAATGAATGAATGAATGAATGAATGAATGAATTCTTTATTGGCCAAGTGTGATTAGACACACAAGGAATTTGTCTTGGTGCATGTGGTCTCAGTATACATAAAAAGAAAAGATACATTCATCAAGAATCATCAGGTACAACACTTAATATAGTCATAGGGTACAAATAGGCAATCAAATATAGTAGGAAATGGTCAATTTTGTTTCCGATCTGCCACTGTGCAATTTGCAAACCGTACAGAGGCGCAGTATGTTAAAATGCTCTCTATGGTGCAGCAGTAGAAGGTCACCAGCAGTTTTTCATTCAGTTGTTGTTTTCTGAGAAGTCTCAGGTAGTATAATCTCTGCTGAGCCCTTTTGACCAGGGCTGCAATGTGAGCACCCCAGGTCAGCTCCTCTTTTAGGGTAACACCATAAAAGAAGGTTGCAAAGGGGCATCCTGTGACCCCAGGGACACTGTGACCATCAAAACTATGAATCATATGCCAAGCGCCTGAATTTTGACCATGTAACCATGAAGATGCTGCAATGGTTCTAAGTGTGAAAAACCAGTCATGCGATGCTTTATTCCGTGTCAATTGTAACTTCAAACCAGGGGTGAGATGCTACCGGTTCAGCCCGGTTCTATAGAACCGGTAGCTCTGAAGAGCAGCAGACACCGAACTGCTGCTCTGTTTGGCCCGCCTGTTCGCCTGGGCTCTTGGCTGTCCTTTATTTCCTGTTTTTTCAACCTCAGCTGGTATTTGCGGCACAGCTGAGGTTGAAAAAGCAGGAAAGAGGAGGAGTTTGAAATGCTGCTCACCCATGTGCAGTGCTTGTCAGCTGTCCAGGCGGCACGGCTGAGGTTTTTTTGGAAATGGTCTACACATGCGCGTAAAACGCACTCTCACCAGGGGTGGGATTCTACCTGCAAGAGAACCAGCAAATCGCACCACTGGCTGAGCCCACTGCGTCCTGTCCACTCATTCCTTACCTGGCATGCGAGCCATCAAACTTGCCGGCTTCCATTTTTCCCCCTGACCATCAGGTGTTCTGCTGTGCCGGGAGATTTAGATTAGCTAGAAAGCAGGAAATTGTTGCATTTCTTGCTTTCTAGCTAATCTAAAAGCAGAGCTGAAGCTTCCTTAGGACCAAAGCTTCTATTTTTCAGTGCAGACTCAGGTAGCCGATGGCAGGTAGATAGATCTCTAAGTGAATCTGTGATTCTGTGGGCAACTCAATCTGCCTGCCTGCTTTGCCCGCTTTGGGGTAAAAGTTGCTCTTTTTAAATAAAAAATTCAATATTTACATACATAGTGTGTTGTGAATTAATTTTGTGAGTTTGCTTTCTAGCAAGTTATATGAGTTTGCTTGCAAGCAAATTTTATGTGACAGACTCAGGTAGCTGATTGCAGAAAGATAGATCTCTGAATGAATCTGTGATTCTGTGAGCAACTCAATCTACCTGCCTGCTTTGCCTTGATTTTGGTTAAAAGTTGCTCTTTTTTAATAAAAAATTCAATATTTACATAAATATTTATATTTACATACAAGCCATGCCCAGCCAGTCACATGATCACCAAGCCACACCCACAAATTAGGCCACACCCACAGAGCCAGTTGCTAATAAATTTGAATCCCACCCCTGCTTCAAATTATCACTAAACAAACTAGGTCAAGAACTACCTCTACTAGCCATTTCTATAACAACAAAGTAATTTAATCACCTCATCTCAGCTGTTTTGCAATTTCCCAAAGATTTTGTGATGTTTTTTTCATCCCAGTTCAAATTTGCTCAGTTGTTTGAGTTCAGGGCTGGCCAGCTGCTACCTGATAATGTTCCCCAGGATGTTTTAACTTCTTTCCTAGTTCCTTCCTGGTTTATATATTGGCAGATATCTTTTTAGTTATTAACGTATTCTTTCTGAGCAAAGTGGCCTCAAGCTGTTAGGATTATGGTTAAGAGTCACTGGTATTTATTTAAACTTTGCAATTGGCTAATCGTGTAGTTAAGGAAGCAGTTTGTCTGCTTCCTGTAATAATAGAGGAAAAGCCTGCAATTTGATTTTATGCTATTAAATCAGTGTTGACGCTCAGCAATCACAAGGACAGATTTTCTGCAGGAGGATCCCAGATTTTCTGCAACCCATTTTTTTCAGATCTTCCAACAGTGCCCCCATCACTGTTGGGTCCATCCACCTCGCAGCTGGTCATCCTCTTAACTATTGTTGGAAGAAATTATCCTTCTGGGTTCAGTTCCAAGTGGGGAAGAAAGACACTGGAAACATGGTGACTGCTTGGAAAGATGGTTTAATGGTGGACAGGATCACGTGCCTTGGAGCTCCTGAGTGAAAAGGACGATCACATGCTTCAAGATGTTGGGTGAAGGAAAAGAAGGGCCAAGATGCTGAGAGACCCTTAGTTTTATACCCTCTGTTGGGATTTGAATTTGAGCTGGTATTCTGATTGGTTGTCAGACTCCCATGGGGCCACGCAGGGGCAACTCCGTAGGCTGTCCTGAGTCCCAGGCTTGGTTGAGCCTTCCTGCATGATGATGTAATGAAAAGGATTTAGGCAATTCCTATTATGGCTCTACCTGGAGTAGATCTTTGTTATGTAAAATAGACTGGCCTAGGCCAGAGTAACGTCCCATTAGCAAAGGTGGGGGGGGGGGAGACGCTGAGTTTCTGCCGCTTTGGTGAGTTTCTGCTTCTGAGTTTCTACTCTTTTTAGGGGAAATATTCTGCCTTTTTAATATTTCCTAGGATATTTCATTTTTCTAGGAGTGATAACTTCCTACACTATCTTCAACTTTGCAAATTGCCAGTCCGTGACTTAGAGAAACTATTCCTTAATTCCTATAATTCTTTCTTTCTTTCTTTTTCTTTCTTTCTTTCTTCTTTCCTTCCTTCCTTCCTTTCTCCCTCTCTCCCACCCTTCTTCTTCCTTCCTTCCTTCCTTCCTCCCTCTGTCCCTCCTTCCTTCTTTCTTCCTTTCTTACTCTTCCTTCCTTTCCTTCCTTTCTTTCTCCTTCTGTCCCCCTTCTTTCTTTCTTTCTTTCTTTCTTTCTTTCTTTCTTTCTTTCTTTCTTTCTTTCTTTCTTTCTTTCTTTCTTTCTTTCTTTCCTTTCTCCCTCTGTCCCACCCTTCTTCTTCCTTCCTTCCTTCCTCCCTCTGTCCCTCCTTCCTTCTTTCTTCCTTTCTTACTCTTCCTTCCTTTCCTTCCTTTCTTTCTCCTTCTGTCCCACCCTTCTTCTTTCTTTCTTTCTTTCTTTCTTTCTTTCTTTCTTTCTTTCTTTC